TCTACTCTACTCTACTCTACTCTACTCTAAAAAAAGTCCGATTCAGAAAATTTGTTGTTGAAAAATAAAAACAAAAAAAAAATATAAATACCGCGTATTATTTTGTCGTGATAGTTGCCTAAAAAAAATGGATGTTAATAAAAATATCTAATAGTCTGTGTTCTCTAAAAAAAATTAACTATGCACACGATCGAGTGGTCATTCTAGCAGACAAAAAAACCTATGTTTTCCTTTGATCATTATCAACTATAGAGTAAAAAAAAAATTCTTTTCCTTCTCTACTCTCACGCACCAATAGTAGAAGAAAAAAATTAAAAACACTGGGCCATGTGGGGAAGGCTAAGGCAAGCATAGTACACACGACTTACCGTCGACAATGTTACCATATTTCAATAAATATGCAGAACGCACTTGTTTTTCACGTATTCTGATAAATAAAAAGAAAAAAAATTCAGGCCGGTAACTAGGGATGAGGTGTGGGGATGCTTAATGTAGACAATGATCACAGACTATGACGTGACACGACCAATTAACAATCAAGAATGGGTCAATAGATTTTTGATGGGGAGGGTTGGACAATAAAAAAATAGGATATTTTTTTCATGAACTGCTCGAATTTTTTTATTAAAAAAAAAAGATCTTTGTTGTTTGTATTTTTCATATTTATAAGTAAAAAAAACCAAGCTTTCGATCAAAACGGTCATCTTCAGTGAACACAAAAAAAATACAAAAACAAAAAACGCATTTAATTTGATTTCAGTTTAAAAAAAATGTTGTTTTTGTTTATTAATTTTTTATTACTATTTGCAGGATTTTTTTTACTATATGCTTTTTTTCCATTTTCATTCTGTTGGTCAACGATTTTAGTTGTCCAGAATTTTTCAAGGATTTGAAGAAGTAGCAAAAAAACTGTAAAAATCCTTTGCCAGGGCGCAAAAATGATTTTAGAAGCTATTACGAATCGTGGAAAGATGCAATTATTTAAGCTGATAGAAAAAAAAATTCATTCTCCAAGACATACAATATTATTGTTGGAATTCAAAAAAAAGCGCGCAAAACAAATTTTGATTATTTTTTTTTWATTTTAAAAAAAAAAAATTGATTGTGTCAAATAATATGCGTTTAAAAAATTAAAAAAAGTAGCACTACCTTGACAAAATTATGACACAAAATCTTAGAAAAAAATAGTATAGACCTCAGAAGCTTTTAGATGTCGATCATATAAAAAAAACGCAATGCATTGTGAGATGTAAGATATGTTTGGGACAAAACATGGCAGATTTATTTTGTTTTCTCAAGACACTGATCCCACAATGAAAAAAAAATCACGCAGGTGATGTAAAAGCTTCAGAATTCTATTGCAAGTCTCCTTTTATAAAAAAATTAAATATTTCTTTTGTCAAAGGATAAAAAAAAAAAAGTTAAACGAATGAACACTGATTCATGCTTATTCAAAAAAAACAGAAACCAATAAAGCCTAAACAATTGGCCATTCCGAAAAAAAAAAGAGACTGGGAACGAGTGTGAAAATAGTCCATCGAAAACTAAAAAAAACCACATGAAAGACCACACTAAAATAAGTGTTCTTGTCAAAAAAAAGCATATTTGGTTGAATACTCACCGAGTAGGGACTTTTTCAAATTTGCAAAAATATAAGAGAATGTATGGTTTTTTGGGCCGCTGCAAAAAAATCCATACATTCTTTGTAATTTTGTCGAGTTTTAAACGCTTGACACTCTGTAATTATTAATCCTATTACTCTCAAACTCACCAACTAAAAAAATTTTAGTATGTTTTTTGATTGCTTCAAACTATATCAAGTAAAAAAATAGTCACCAGTCCCTTTTTGAATTTCGGAACGGGCAATAAAAAAAATTATTAAGTCATTCACACTGAGCTGCTGTGGTTGTTGATAAAAAAAGGCTGTGACGTTTCCTAATGACAGGTATGCCTGTAGATGAAAAAAAAATTAGATAGATAGATAGTTTTATTAAAATCCTTTGCAGAAAAAAAATAAAGGTGGATAACAGACAATTACAAAAAATAGACAATAAAAAAATGTAATAATGTATGAAATGTTAAAGATTGTAAAATTGAAAAAAAAAAAAAGCTTAAATATAAATATATTGTATATGATAAAAAATAAAAAAAATGGTTAATACTATTGAATATGATAAAACTTTGTTTGAAAAAAAAAGTCAGACAAATTGGTGTGTTGAATGTTCGCCTCCTCCTAAAAAAAATGTTGGTGGACTTTCGTGGTGGTAATAGGCTATACAGCTAAAAAAAACTGTCATCATTAATTTCTCTGACGAAAAAATTTGCTTAAAAAAAAATATAATTATAATATATGCAAAATATCACATGGTCACTTAAAAAAACGAATTTTATCTTCTCGTTAGATCTTGCAACACTCGAAGAAAAAAACCGTATCTCTTTGCTCCCATGTAATATCCTCTATTTCTTAAAAAAATTGTGTCACATGATTTATTCAGTTTTTTGAATATTTCAAAAAAAAATACTGTCAATTCATCTCCGCTGCTATAACCAGTTGACTAAAAAAAAACCTGAGAGAGTGGTTTCTGTGATAAAGCTTCCCAAACTAAACCATGCTGTTGACTACTGTGTAGTTTTCTTTGACTTGTTAAGTAAAAAAATATAGGAGACTGTCCCTGTAATGGAGCATTACAATATCAAAAAAAAATCAATGCATTACTCTCTGGAGAGTAATTCTCCCGATAAAAAAAAATATTTTATCCAGTGCGTACTATTTGAGTATTGTGTATGAAAAAAAAGTTAAGCTAATATGTTAGTAGCAATGAATGTGATCAGGCAGTCATTTGATAGATCAATTAGCGTGAAAGCATGGTTGTTAAACGAAAAAAAACAGAGAGACCAGTTTAAAATATAGAAAATGGTTCTGAGGAAAAAAACACACGATGAAACTTCACTAGGCTATGTGAATGGAAGCCAAAAAAAGCAGCAAAGCATGATGGGAGTTGTAGTTAAGAGTCCCTAAAAAATCTAACTGTCAGTTTGTATCACTACTTCTATTGTTGGATAGAAAAAACTCAAAAAGGTTATGTGGACTGTTTTAGCGGACATGAAAAAAAAAAAGGACTAGAGCTCCCAACATGTTTTGTGGCAAAAAGGGGGAAAAAAATCATTGCCTATTTATGTTTGTGCGCTCACGTCTCCAGCGAAAAAAATAGCAATATCTGGTAATTTTAGCATGTGTTCTCCAGAGTAAAAAAACAGAATGAGTATGCAACTCAATGTCACTTCACAAGTACGAAAAAAATGGACTTCTAGCAAAGCAATATGTTCAGCGTAACGTGGAAAAAAAATGAGTTTTCATAACTTTTAAAGCGCACCTTGGTATGTCTTGCAGCCAATTCAAGAGAAGAAAGTTTATGTATCAGAAGTTGTGTAAAAAAAACTGTAGAGTGAAAGACAAAAAATATTGAGTAATCAATCAAAAAAAAAATAAAACCTTCTGTAAGCAGGTATGGATTCAGGAAATTAAAAAAATGGACCTTGAAGTCCTGAATGATAACCGGGAAGAATTTTGAAATTGAGATCCTAAGAAATGCAATCTCCAGCAGTTGGAGGACAAAAAAAAATGCATAATTAGTCAAGGATACTGAAAACCAGATCTCTCTAAAAAAAAAAATTGTATTTTATCGTTAGGGAACGAAAGACACTGAGAAAAAAATTATGATAAAATAACCCTGGACAGTTAGAGAGTAGTAGAAAAAAAAAGGGAGGGGACAGAAATTGTTGTTTCACGTATTGTAGGCAATCTTATTTGCTTAGCACTGTCAAACTAAGCCTTTATCTAATAATTCAATTACTGATCGAAAAACATGCCATACACCTTATTATGGTCTACAAACGTTGTTATCAAACTCATTAATAATTCATAATGTCATTAGCCAATTATATACTGAGAATCTAATCACGTGATTATACCTTTGTATTGGAAAAAAAATGCAGCAAGCTCAAWGTTGGGGGCGGCTTTGAATATTTTCAGCGGAGTGAGGGGCTGATTATCATTCAACGTTTTCCTGATACAGAAAAAAATCACTGATACAGAACTAATGTTTTATTAATTAGGTCTGTAAAAAAAAAACGTTGAGTAATGACTAAGATTATGTAATACATCCTAAAAAAAAAGTTGTTGTTTTTGCCCTATTGTTCTCCGTACCTTCGACAAAAAAAACATAGGACGGCTTCAAATGAATGCTACAAAAATGCGTTAAAAAAACCGTGGCAAAAGAAACTTTGCCCCAAACTTTTGGACATTAAAAAAATTTCCTAAACATGACGATGAAATTAATCATTAATAAAACAATTAAGTCACCATGACTAATTCACCGAGTTTAATTTAATAACACTAAAAAAAAGGACGGCATTACTACAGGTAAGCAAATTAGGGATGACCAAAAACTGCAAGCCAAAAACCATACCCTGGCCAGCGGYACATCCCCAAAAAAAAAATATATGGGATGCATTTCCATGAAAGGCTGCCAAATTAAAAAAAAAAATTGCAGCTGTTGATATTTAAATTTCAGTTCACCCTAAAAAAACCCCTCCTGCATAACACTGTCTATTAATTATTATTGCTACAATGACAATAAACAGATCTCTAAAAGAATTTCAATAAAATGTAAGAAAAAAACCTTGACCAAAGTAGCTGTCTTTCCTGTACATCTGACAAAAAAAAAACATGTGATGTTCTGAGGTCTGGTCACTTGCCTCAGAAGAAGAGTTTTTAGCAGCGCCATGTGTGACAAATTGGTTTTTCTGGAGAAAAAAATCAGTTTGTTTTACAAGGACCTGGTATTCTGTGTCTAATAAAAAAATTTTCATTACTGCATCATTAAAGAGAGCTAAGTCATCATAAAAAAAGTCATCTTTAGGTAAAGGTAGTGGAATGATTTCAGCAGAAAAAAAATATAAAATATAGTAAAATCTATGTCAACAACATTAATAAAAAAAAAAGATTCTAATGGGATAAATCATACTTACCCATTAGCAGACAATAAGCTTTTTACATGACCAATGGTGATAATAATTCTTAGATAAAAAAAAATAGTTAGTTCTTGACTGTCATAATAGTTTATATAGCCACTGAGAATATATGAGTTATTGCAGGAATTGCTTGATATTTTACCATAAAAAAAACCTTTGGACATAACATTGCAAATGGCACTCTTAGTGACAAAAAAAATGTTCAAACACAAATTAAGTTGTCCATTGCTTGAAAAGTAAAAAAATGTTATGTATTTTCCAAGTGTAGATGATGAAGTAATCTTATCAGATATGGATGAAAAATCGACCTGCAAAAAAGAACATTGAATGAAAAAAAACACTATTATCCAAATATTAACATGACCCTGTTGCATGTAAAAAAACACTAGTCATAACGGAGTGTGTTTGATAAGTGCAGCGATCAGGCCAAAAGTTTTTGTGTCATCTCTTTTAAAAAAGACACAGAATAAAAAAAATTTTTAATGATATTCTATAATCAAGCGTAATATACAAAAAAAAAAACAGTAACAAATGCCTGACTTTCAATGTCACTGAATCATAAAAAAAAGTCATAAAGCTTATATGACCTTCAAAAACTCATACATAAAAAAAAAGCTACTTGGCCAATAGAATGAGCCTATTTGGCCACATGAAAAAAACTTTAAATTATATCTGATAAAACACTCCTTATTAGTATTAAAAAAATAAAGAATACTAATAAGGGTGACCTTTATCAGATATAATAAAAAAAGTCCCTAGCAAAGATCTCAGGTCATTGACCAATGCAGGAAAAAAAACGATTTCAGTGGACAGCCAAGAGCGGTTCTATTTTACTTAAAAAAAATTCAAWGTGGGATKACAARAGTSCWTTGTAAAGTGATTAAAAAAAGATCAGTTTGCCCTATTTATCTCTGAACATATTTRWACRAAAAAAACTCCAAGAATTTTAACGGATTTGAGTTTCAAATTAGTGTTGGAGTTTTTTAAGCCGTTTAAAACACTCGAGATCGTGTTTTAAACAAAAAAAAAGCAAAAATTGGTCTTCAATYTCTTTTAAAGATCTTCCAAAAAAATTCTTCTGATTTTTAGAATTTGAGGATTTTTTCATGCCTAAAAAAATCTTAATCCTAATAAAATAGTGCCTAAATTGTCATATATAAAAAAAAATCATTGTGAGGGAATTCACCTTATGTTCTTCCATGTGAAAAAAAATAGCTGGGATATGCAAGTCGCCATCTTTGTTTGGTTTTAAAAAAACACGTAAACCAGCAAATGTTTTAGAAGTATTGATTGCAAAAAAAAATAACTCTTTGCCTAATGTATCTTGAAGATACAAAATAGGGTCAAAACATGTATCCATCTAAGCTGTGAAGAATGACAGAATCTACAAAAAAAAGAGTAAAGTAGGAATTTGGGTTTCCTGTGGCATAGGTAAAAAAAAAGTTTGAATTTTAAAGCAACCTCGTTCCCAGGGCTACTCAAAAAAATTTTTTTAAAATGGCGGACAGAGATAGCTCAGAGCTCCAAAAAAAATTTGGCCGGTCACGTGACACCCACTCTCAGTGGGTGTTTAAAAAAAATTACCGCTGAATTTGGTTTTGGAAAATGATAATGTTCGAAAAAAAATTTAATTTTTTTTAACTTTTCTAAACATTCTGAAAAGCAAAAAAAACACGTTTTTAATGCAATCTGCAGGAGATTACCGCCAATAAAAAAAGATTCCGATCCGTGTTTGAATGCACGTCCAGAAAAAATTAAAAAAARAAGAAAGAGAAGGAAATTTTATGCTTTTGTGGATGTTGTAATATTTTCCGCATATATTTTCGTTTCATAGCGAAAAAATAGCTTAAAAAAATTTGTTGTCTTTCTTACCAACTTTCTTCTGGCAATTTTGAAAAAAACAGACGTTTTTCATAGTTATGGTCGAAATATTTAATCAGAAAAAAAGACATTGACAATATAAAACGTGAAATAAATTTTTTAATGAAAAAAATGCATGGCGCACGATGGCGAAGCAGTATTTATTCCCTTTAAAAAAAAACTAAAGTTAGCGAATTTTGATTATTCGTAGAAATTATAAAAAAATCGCGTCGTGGTTTCCTACACTTCTCTCGTGTTCTCCCCACATCCCGCATGTTTTTATCAGAGTATCATACATGGAAAACTGTTTAAAAAAATTAAATAAAGTGTAAAAAATTACATGCCGTTCTTGGAGTACTTTTAACGCCTTGTACATCTGATCGCCGTTCGTTCTCGACGAGAAAAAAAACGAAATGTTATGTTCGGATTTTTTTATTTATCATTAAGCAAAAAAAACTCACCAAAGATGAACATCTTAGATCAAGGCGGGAAAAAAAAAAATGAGAAAAAAAGAATTTTGGCCTGCTTTTTAAACTTGCGAAAAAAAGTTCAAAGTACAATTGACTCAGCAAGATGCCTAGCCGCTAAAAAAACAAAATGTTTTTCAAACCTCAAATATATAACTTTCATTAGTACCTTTTAGCTTAGATGAATTGGCGTATTCAAACTTTCTGGACTAAAAAAATATATTTGTACATATATCAGCGAGACAAGCCATGAAAAAGGGCTAAAAAGACATCAATTGACGGATGATCCCGCAAAATTATCTTAAAAAAATTAGAAGTTAGTTACCGCGCGCGCTTATTAGATCTTCTCAAAAAAAGCGCTCATTGTTTTTATGTTGTTTTGTAAAATGTAACCAAAAAAAACCCAAGCAGTGACTTTGAACCTATACTGGTTAAAAATAAAAAAAAACTTAAAAAAATGGTCTACTTTTATTTTATTCAGTGTCACAAAAAAATATARATGGGTTTAAAAAAATTTCCCCTCCATGTATATAAAAAAAAACAAGGGAGGAGACTCCGCTCGAAATTCTCCCAAAAATGAAAAAAAAACGATGGACAAAAATCCTTTTTTCGCACCGAAATTAAAAAAAAAAGAAGTTTTATCTGAGAYAGCATATGTAAATCAACGTTTTAAAAAAAATTTTGGACGAGAGGCATCGATAGAAACGCTTTTCGGGCAAAAAAATCCAAAA